GATGGGAGGGAGGAGGAGAGGAGGGGAAGAAAGGTAAGTGGCCCAACCACTTTGGAGCAAGTCATACAGATGTGCTGCAGGCATGGATGTAGAGGTATGAAGATCGACGGTACATGGCTCCCATGGGAGAGGTGGTATGAGGGCGGCGGCATCAGAGAGGCAGGAAAGGCAGAGTTGGCTTCACAGTAACTGGTCAAGTGGAAGCTCGTTACACTGGTGGAGGTGAGCCATTCAAAAGAGACTTGAACTTCTTTCTTGTGAGGTATTCCACTTCATATGGGTGTATGGCGCTTCTTGCAGGATGGGTGGCGGTTTGTATTATTCGGCTGAATGTGGTGGTGAATCCTGGGTCGCAGGTAAACTTAACGGTACCATCTTGTAGGCGCTGGACAAGTTCTTTGCCAAGCATTGCGTCGTTGTAGTTGTCAGTAGTGAAGAACCGTGTGCCAGGGGTATCGATAAATGACACCATCCCCTCCTCAGTATCTGAGGTAGCTTCAGGAGGGTGGGCAGTAGTGGCAGTAGATGGGGTGTTTGCTTGAGCCGAGGCAGTGCGAGTTACAACCCCAGGTTGTGGTGGTTTATGCTTCTTAGCTGGTGGTGGCAGTGTCGTGACAGGCGAGGTTTCTGATTGGTTCATTGAGGCAGGAGAAGCTGCTGGTGCCAAGGAGGGTGCTGATTAGTTGGTTCCTGAGTTGAGTGGAGGCAACGAAGGCACCTCATTGGTTGGAGTTGGAGTGACCTCACTTGTAGTTGATGGTGGTGGTGGTGAAGTTGTAGTTGTTGGTGTTGCGGCATTAACTAAATCTTTTGTGAACTGGAGAATGTCCGCAGATCTCATCGTCTACCCTTCCTCATCCCAACATGGCATTCTTCAGGTCACCATGCGTCACTCACACCTCACTCTCCGACTATATATAATGTCTTTCTACCTCTGTATGTTAGAAGTGATCAAGATCCCAGGACCGAAACGTTTTCTAATACATATGTCATAGTGTTTGTTTACGTGTCTTTCTAAACCATGATACAGCTTATACTCTATAGAAAGCCTCTGGTTATGCAGAGCATTTCATTCAAATTAGGTTAATTTTGTCCCCAGGATGCAACTCACAGCAGTCGACTAACACCCGGGTAACCACTTACTGATAGGTTAAAAGGGACAGCAGGTGTCTTAAGGAAACATGCCCAATGTTTCTACCCGTACCGGGGATCGAACCATGGACCTCAGTGTGTGAGCTGAAGTACTTCAGTACGCGCAATTGAGAGTATCATATAAGGTAATTATGGTTAATAATTAACTGAAAAGGAAAGAGAGAGAGAGAGAGTGAATGAGAGAGGGAGTGAGGTAAGGAGAGAGGGAGGGAGGGAGGTCAGAATAAGCAGATTAAGATGAGTGTGTTGCTGATGCCTCCGTGTTCTGTGTCAGTGTGATGATCTGATTTACATACAGATAGGTTAGTGGGGAGTTACTGTGACTGGGATGGCAATCACACGTGACCACACCACTCTTACTGGGAGGCTTTCAACGCTGTTGGGTCAAGTGGGAGGTTGGTAGCAGTGTTCTCCATCTATTCTCCACTTGTTCTCCACATGTTCATGACATGTTTTTGTCATGTTTTGATATGTTATGTTCTCCACATGTTCTTAATACGGTATTCTCGACATGTTTTTAACATGTTACATTAAGCAAATTATGATATTTGTTTAAAACGCCTGGCACATTCTAGCTTCGGAGAAAAAACAGGTGCTTGTAATGCAATATACAAAATCAAAGAGCAATTTAACAAGCAAATTTAGTTTATATATATATATATATATATATATATATATATATATATATATATATATATATATATATATATATATATATATATATATATATATATTAATATTTAAGGCCTGTGTTAAGAGTTATACATGGCAGGACACAAACAGCTACTGACTGTTATCACCTGTCATCAACTAGCAACTCTTAATAACAAACATTATGACACTGTCCCTGAGACAGTTAGAATAGTGACTATTTAACTAGCCTTAAGCAGTGCTTATCTGACTTAGAATATTCTAGTCTGCTCGGTGGCTCCCCGTTTTCTGTTAGTAAGTAGGGCATTTTTATCACTTTTATCCTTTATTTTAATAATTAACGTGGGGGGGGTTATAATTAGTTAATTTTTATTCATAGAGGACTTCGTAAAATTCTGTCTTGACATGCTTATGTGTTACAGTTCCCATGTTACTGTTACCACTAACATTGACGTTGTTACAGTTCCCATGTTACTGTTACCACTAACATTGACGTTGTTACAGTTCCCATGTTACTGTTACCACTAACATTGACGTTGTTACAGTTCCCATGTTACTGTTACCACTGTAACATTGACGTTGTTACAGTTCCCATGGTACTGTTACCACTAACATTGACGTTGTTACAGTTCCCATGTTACTGTTACCACTAACATTGACGTTGTTACAGTTCCCATGGTACTGTTACCACTAACATTGACGTTGTTACAGTTCCCATGTTACTGTTACCACTAACATTGACGTTGTTACAGTTCCCATGTTACTGTTACCACTGTAACATTGACGTTGTTACAGCTCCCATGGTACTGTTACCACTGTAACATTGACGTTGTTACAGTTCCCATGTTACTGTTACCACTAACATTGACGTTGTTACAGTTCCCATGTTACTGTTACCACTGTAACATTGACGTTGTTACAGTTCCCATGTTACTGTTACCACTAACATTGACGTTGTTACAGTTCCCATGTTACTGTTACCACTAACATTGACGTTGTTACAGTTCCCATGTTACTGTTACCACTGTAACATTGACGTTGTTACAGTTCCCATGTTACTGTTACCACTAACATTGACGTTGTTACAGTTCCCATGTTACTGTTACCACTGTAACATTGACGTTGTTACAGTTCCCATGGTACTGTTACCACTAACATTGACGTTGTTACAGTTCCCATGTTACTGTTACCACTAACATTGACGTTGTTACAGTTCCCATGTTACTGTTACCACTAACATTGACGTTGTTACAGTTCCCATGTTACTGTTACCACTGTAACATTGACGTTGTTACAGTTCCCATGGTACGGGTTACCACTAACATTGACGTTGTTACAGTTCCCATTTTTACTGTTACCACTAACATTGACGTTGTTACAGTTCCCATGGTACTGTTACCACTAACATTGACGTTGTTACATTTTCCCATGTTACTGTTACCACTAACATTGACGTTGTTACAGTTCCCATGTTACTGTTTACCACTGTAACATTACCGTTGTTACAGCTTCCCAATGGTACTGTTACCACTGTAACATTGACGTTGTTACAGTTCCCATGTTACTGTTACCACTAACATTGACGTTGTTACAGTTCCCATGTTACTGTTACCACTAACATTGACGTTGTTACAGTTCCCATGTTACTGTTACCACTGTAACATTGACGTTGTTACAGTTCCCATGTTACTGTTACCACTAACATTGACGTTGTTACAGTTCCCATGTTACTGTCACCACTGTAACATTGACGTTGTTACAGTTCCCATGTTACTGTTACCACTGTAACATTGACGTTGTTACAGCTCCCATGGTACTGTTACCACTGTAACATTGACGTTGTTACAGTTCCCATGGTACTGTTACCACTGTGACGTCATTAACAGTTCACTAATGGCTTGTTCCTCTCAACAGCTGTGCACGAGAAGTTGTTCACTCTGTTCATGTTGGTGTCGCTGGTGTACATGCTGTGCGTGATCCGGGTGGTGCGCGCGGTGCGCCACACGCTCTCTCCGAGGCTGCTGCGCTCCTTCGCGCAAAAGAAGTGGCTTTTTGGGATCAAGTTGGCCTCCACCGGCGGCCTCCTCTTCTTCTTCTGGCGGCACCGCGTCCACTGCCAACCCATGGGTTAGTCTACAACAACCCTCACCCAACCTAACCCATGTCAGTCCCCTCCTATCACTGCCAACCCATAGGTTAGTCTCCAACAACCCTCTCCTAGCCTAACCCATGTATATCCCTTCCTATCACTTCCAACTCGTGAGTTAGTCTCCTACAACCCTCTCCTGGCCTATCCTATATCAAGCTCCTTCTACCCCACTCGTCCAGCTCTCCACCCCAGTCTAGCTCCCTCACAAACCCAACCTGACCGCTCTCCTCACAACCTTAGACAGTCAGAACTCCTCAATCCTTTTCGCAATCAGTAGAATTAAGATCTACATTATTTAGTTTATATGTGGCATGATTAGTTTCCTGTCCAACATTTAGAACTTTGCATTTGTCTGTATTAAACTGCATCTGCCACATCTCCGACCATTGCATCAGTCTATTCGAATCTTCCTGGAGTGCTCTAGTGTCCTCATTAGAATGAATTGGACGGCCTATTTTGGTGTCATCAGCAAATTTGCTTATGTTCCTATTTATTCCCTCATCTATGTCGTTTATGTAAATTGTGAACAACAGGCCCAACACTGACCGCTGAGGAACACCGCTTGTGACGTGCCCCCATTCTGATTTCTCCCCATTTATGCAAACTCTCTGCCTATTTGTCAACCATGCCTCTACGCAGGAAAAAATTTCTCCTCCTATTCCGTGTGCCTTAAGTTTCCTCAATAGCCTCTGATGTGGAACTCTATCGAAAGACTTACTGAAGTCCATAAACATAATATCATATTCATTACCATGATCTACCTCCTCAAACACCTTAGTGAAAAAGGTTATTAAATTCGTAAGACAGGAACGCCCCTTTGTAAAACCGTGTTGAGATTCATTAATCAGTTTATGCCTATCAAGATGGCTACGAATTGTTTCGGCAATTAATGATTCCATAAATTTTCCCACTGTGGTGGTAAGGCTTATTGGTCTATAGTTCGAAGCTAAGGACCTGTCACCTGCCTTGTAAATTGGTATTACATTCGCCATTTTCCATTTATCAGGCACTATGCCAGTTTGTAGTGATATGTTGAAAAGATTAGCCAAAGGTATGCTAAGTTCCTCTTTACATTCCTTTAACATCCTTGCAAACAGTTCATCAGGGCCTGGGGATTTGTTAGGTTTTAGTTTCTCTATTTGTCTGAGGACCATGTCACTAGTTACCGCAATCGTGCATAGTTCATTATCATCCTGTTCAACATGAGCTATTATTTCTGGAATTTCGCTAGTATTTTCCTGGGTATAAACTGAGAGGAAGTAAGTATTGAAAATTTCACACATATCCTTATCACTGCCAGTGATCTGACCTGAGTTACTCTTAAGTGGGCCTAATCTTACTTCTGTATACCTGAAAGAACCTTTTTAAGTTAGTCTTCGAATCCCTTGCGACCTTAGCCTCATAGTCCCTCTTTGCTTTTCGTATTCCTTTTTTTCTCTCTTTAATTGAATATATTGATTTCTTAATAGTAATAGTAATATCACTTGTACGTGTGGCATTAGTAATGGCTGCATTAATAGCACAAATCTTTAGTAATAATTTTTCAGTAGTAGCAGTAATTACAATAGCAGTAATTTTATTACGATAGCGGAAGTTGTTATAGCAACATAAGAGTAGTAACAGCAGGAATAAGGGTAGTAATAGCCGTATTATTTAATATCAGTATTAGAAGTAATAATGGATGTAGTAACAACAGCATTAGTAGTAACAGCCACATTACTTGTAAGAGTAGCAACAATAGTAGTAATAACAGCAGAAAGAGTATCAATCGAGTAGTAGTAGTAGTAGAGGTAGCCGTAGTAACAGTAGCAGCAGTAATATTAACTGCAGTAGTAGTATGTATACTAATAACAGTAGTAATATCAATCGAAGCATTGTAATCTTTCTTTAAAAAGATGATAATGATAGTAGTAAATATCATCAATGTAAATTATGAATAGTCAAGCAGACTATTCAGTGACTAAGGAAGCTGATTATCAAATGGTATACAATACCGACAGGTTGGTAGATAAGACACATAGGCAACATTTAGGCAAGATGAGAGTAAGACACATGTGCAACATCTGGGTATCTTTATTGTAGACGTTTCGCCATCCAGTGGCTTTATCAATACAAATTCTAGGACATAACTTGAAGACAGTAGATGGCGAAACGTCTACAATAAAGATACCCAGATGTTGCACATGTGTCTTACTCTCATCTTGTCGGTATTATATACCATTCGTACACAACTTGTCAGACACTGCAACATCATGGAATCTTAATTCTGAGGACATGTACATAACCTTCACGACTACGACATCTACTACTACTACTAACCCATCTCTTTGGGAAGGACCTACTTCCACTGGGGAATCCCGCCTACCAGTGAATTTGCCCTCGTCTGCTTCACCTGACGTTACTATATAAGCGCCAGGATTCTTTCTTCTGCTTCAGAATCTCCACGACTATGGTGCTGTTCGCACCTACTCCTAGGTTGAGGGACTGATTACCTCATCTTCTGTACATAGTTCTACTGTCTTCAAGTTATGTCCTAGAATTTGTATTGATAAAGCCACTGGATGGTGAAACGTCTACAATAAAGATACCCAGATGTTGCACATGTGTCTTACTCTCATCTTGTCGGTATTATATACCATTCGTACACAACATTTAGGCAACTTTATTCCGAAACGTTTCGCCTACACAGTAGGCTTCTTCAGTCGAGTACAGAAAGTAGGCAGGAGCAGTAGAGATGTGAAGACGATGTAATCAGTCCATCACCCTTGAAGTCGTAGATTTGAGGTTGTCAGTCCCTCAGCCTGGAGAAGTTCTGTTCCAAAGTCTGGAACTAACTGAAGATCAAGCGACAGTGTTGAGACTGAAGAAGCCTACTGTGTAGGCGAAACGTTTCGGGATAAAGTTGCCTAAATGTTGTCTATGTGTCTTATCTACCGACTAAGGAAGCTGTCAGTGGCCTATTAACCCCAACAAAATTATAAATAGCTTGGGTTCGATACAGCGATAAGCTGTCAATGACCTTATAAACCATCAACAAGATGTTTATGAGTGGCCACAGTGGAGGAGAATTGACTACCTTCTCTGATGCTCATTACATGTGATACGAATTATCATAGAATTAATCATACTTCCCGTTTCATTTGTCATCTTTTATCAACGACATTTACAATAGATTCGCATATTTCAAGGTTACATGAGTGGTTATTAATGATATTTTGTTCGAAGTCATACAAGTTGCAGACGAAGCATTTATTGGGACAATGTTTCACTTTCTGTAGAGCTTTATCAAGTTCCCAGCTTGATAAATCTGTACAATGGATACAAATGCACTGCAGTGCCGCATTTATCTCATTAATATCGTGTCGGTATCTCATGACTATTACCTGTCTTGATAAAGTTCTACACATAATAGTAACAATAATCTCTATATCTACACGTACATGATACAACTTATACAGACCTAGCTGACATCAGTGACATACTGCATAGAAAACCTCTGGTTATGCAGATCTTTTCGGGCAACTTAGTCACCACATTTGCCTCGTTAATATCATGTCGGTATCTCATACTGTGTCCTGTCTTTATAAAGTTCTTCACATTGTAACGTTGTCCCAGTGAAAGCCTTTGTTGCAACTTGTGTTATTGCTTTCACACCTGACAATGCGCCATTTGATTCAGTGTTGTTGTTTCAGCTTTCAGCTGGTTCTCGCTGTGTGAGTACGTGATCGCCACGTGCAACATGCTCTACCACGTGAGTGTGGCCCTCGACTTCTCTGACGAGCATCTGATTGTAGGACACATCGTCACAGCCACCACGCCTTCTGCCTCCGTCTCCTCCTTCCCTACCACTGCCTCCTCTTCACGTCATCATTCCATCTCAACTCCCACCACTACATTCGACTCTTTAGCCACCTTCGAGGGCGGCTCCGACATCCCGCCTACAAGAAACGGCCGTCTGGACGAGCAGGTGCTGGGGGGTAGCATGGTTCTGGGTAGCCCCCAGCCCTTAGCTGCCGTTCTCAGCGGTATGCACCCAGCTGTGAGTTGTGGGAAAGTGGTGTCTGTGGCAAAATGTGACAGTGGAGTGGGCGTGGGCGGTGGAGGCACGGTGGAGGGGGAAATCCCGCCCACAGTGGTACACCAAGTTCTTAACACCATACACGAGGGCTCAGAGCCCACTTCCGCGCAGCCGTGTCTCAACGGACCTGCAGACGCAGAGTCTACCTTGATTCAGCGGAGACCCACAACCTCACCCAGCTCTAACCCCCTTTCCACAGACGCCCACACCCCCATTCACACTCACAGCGAATAGTGATAGAGTGAGCAGGGGGACTCCGCCCACGAGAGGTGCTGGGAGCAAGCAGGCCACTGCTGCCGCCACTAACATTCACCTTGTACTGATCTTATACGTGTGTTCCTGTATCATATACCACGAACATGTGTCTGAAAACTCATGTATAAGAGGGTAGTGTGTATAACTGAGATCTTAAAACACACTACACCTCCTTGGCCGGACACAACGTGTCAGGGCACCCACAAAGCCCTTGTAATACGCAGAAACTGTTACTACAAGTTTTATCGCAAAGAAAAAAATATATGACGAGCGTAACACAAATGTTCCTCAAGACTTTGAGTGATTGCCATAGCCTGGTACTCTTGGGCAGAGATCTTGTGTTTTGGTGTGGAAAGTCTTGGAAAATGTTGGTGTAGTGAGAACGTGCTTCTTGATGATTGGACAGTGTCGAGTGTAATGTCTCTTGCTTGTAGTGCATCTAGCAAAGCTGCACACAACACTATATAAATTGCAAGTATATAATTGTAGTTGACGATAAAGCAAATATCTAATCCAGGAATGGCTTCGACTAAATTGCCTTAACAAATTCTGATCATGATCGATAAAGAAAAGTATAGTAACAGAGCCCAACGGTAAACAGTGGTCATACCGGCTACAAGACAGTAAGTTGTGTTCACTATCTATGAACCTCACACTACGAGACAGTCTCGAGTGTGTTCTCTATCTCTGAACCTCACACTGCGAGACAGTCTCGAGTGTGTTGTCTATCTCTGAACCTCACACTGCGAGACAGTCTCGAGTGTCGTCTATCTCTGAACTTCACACTACGACAGTCTCAAGTGTGTTATCTATCTCTGAACCTCAATACTAATATAATAATTATCGTTTACATTTCAATGCGTAAAGTGTGATCTTCATCTTTCATCCATTCTTGCCGTTTTCATTCTCATCTTAACTTTTATCTGAAGAAATTCTCAAAGTTATTGCGATAATATGAGGTAAGATAATGGAATTACTCTAAAACTCTATGAGTACTTGTTAGAGATAAGGCTCAATTATGCTCTGTTCTCTTGGTCATGTCATATCTGAATCTTAAAGACGTGAGAGTTTCCTGGGTTGGTCACGACCCACATCTGAGATGAACCTGTTAAGTGGAGCTTGAACACGTTTATGGACATTATTTAAGAATGATTTTGCCTAGTATATTTCCAGACTGAGAGCTGTTATCCTACCTCAGCTCATTTCATTGTATGGCCCTTGCTGTGGTATAACAACGGAATTCGATCCACAACAATTGACTCACACCCAGGAACCTGTTGAGTGATAGGTGTAGGGTATAAGGAGACTTTTCTATACGTCTCTCCTTGCCTGAGGATCGAACTCGGGACCTTTAGGTTGTGAACCTGGACGCTCTGACCAGAAACTTTTCTAAAATGTCATGAGGTTAACGAATGACGCTTGGCATCGTTCAACATTTTTGAACTTTATATTTTTAAGTCAAGGTAGACGTAAAGCCACACTGCCTGAAGGTGGGAGGTTAGTGTGACGTCACCTCCAGGTCATCAGGGTGACCTCCAGACCACGTGTTATTAATTTAGCTCGTATGATTATTTATTGTCTATCAAATGCTGACGGTTTCTCCAAAGGAAATAAAATTCACAGTACAGTATAAATAATAGTGCAGAAGAATACTAAAAGAAAGCCCTGCTCTCTTAGCATTATTAAGAGTAAGCCTTCACACTTAAAGCAGACTTTGTGATGACCATCATAACTCACTATGTACTGACCATCACAGCAGACTATGTACTGACCATCACAGCAGACTATGTACTGACCATCACAGCAGACTATGTACTGACCATCACAGCAGACTATGTACTGACCATCACAGCAGACTATGTAGTAACTATCTTAACAGACTATATACTAGGGTGGTCCATATTTATAGGGGATAATTATGAAAGTTGTGTAGACCAAGTGGGAACTTAGTGCCATCGTTCTACTTCATGTACAGTATCTTCGCAGCAAATGTGAAGAGAATTTGACGTTTAGGGATCGCACAAAACGTTGAGTTATTTTAGTCCCATCAAAATTCTATTGAAACAACTCGTTTCTTTCGATTCTTTGAAAATTACTGGATGTATAAAATTGTATATGTGTTATAATGTTTATGTGGCCTAATTCCTGTTATTTCATTATTAATTAATAATAATAATTGTTAATTAACAATTTTTATTTCTACAAGTACATGATACAACTGATACAGACCTAACCGACATCATTGACATTCTATATGGAAAGTCCGTTGTTATGCAGAGCATTTCAGGCAACTTAGGTTAATCCTGTCCTCCAGAATGTAACCTACAACAGTCCACTAACACCCTTTCCACAGGTAGTTCTGTTAGCTGGGATAATTGCATATTGCAGTAGGCATCACCGGTGCTCGATTGCTTTCCAGACACAAAATGCTTAGGAATTATTACCTCCATCATTCTGTCATGAAGAAAACGAGAGTAGATACTACAAAAGCAATTCTTTAAATAATGGTAGAAATGAATGAAAAGGCTAAAATGACGGCGTTACAGGAGACAACCAGAAGACCCTTCTCGAGGCCTCAGTGCTGGTGTGAATTAATTGAACGTTTGCATTGCCGCTCTTAAGGAGGGAAGTCTGTGCTAGGCTTGCTGTTAGGCATCCTACGTCCAACACCGGTTTATCTGAAGGAGTATACAGTAAAATACAGGTTATCATCAACCCTGAGATTATATGGACTGCTTGCTCTTAGTGAGTCTTTTAAGTGATTCTCGTTGATGTCTATAAGGAGCATGACCGTCTGGCAGGCTCAATATCCCCAGTATCCATCAATTCTTTACTTCAAAATGAAGTAAAGAATTGATGGATCTCGATTGAAACCATCAACTGATGATGAGGATGTCGTGGATGGATTATCTGAACCTCTGACAGGATTCAAAGACAGGACAGTGAAAAATCTGAAGGTGGTCAAGTCTATGGCTCACCACAGGGATGATTACCAGGCACCCCTGGACCTGTCGTACATATTGGGGGAAAATCCAAGAGGAAAGCGTGGAGTCCTCTATCATGCCAGATACTAGATGGCAAATGATATTTAAGCTCCAAAGATCCTCTTTAGAAAGTAATTCCTTACTGTTCATCAAACGCGTGCAACACAGCATCTTAGTCTTCGTTCATGTCTTCTACACCAGGTCGTGGCCTCAGGCAACGGTATTATCATATATCCTTAAAAGTAATTTGGTCTTCATGAAGGATCTTATGTGCAGAATTCCAAATCATCAGTTGCCGAACAGTGACTTCACAGCCTCATAACGCCACTTGTGGTATGTGTCCGCAGAACGGATTGACCTTCCATTTTTCAATGACCCAACTGGAGAAGAGGAGAAAGCTGCAATAGTGGAGAATCTCAAGAAGAGAGAAAAGTATGGGACTGAAGAGGCTTGATGGCAAGAATTTCACCTCTTAAACAAACCATTTCATGACTGTGACATCATCCGCCTATGTAATTCTCCCGAATGGGCGTCGTGAGTCAAAATCCTTCTTCGCCAGACCATCTTCTTGGACTGAAAATGAAACCTACCAACATTGGTTGAAGATTGTGAATTGACAGTGCTGATAGAGGTATTACTCTCACAATCTAACTCATCCATCTTCAAGAATGAGACACAAAAGCAGTACCTTCTGAGAGTTGAGGATCATCACAGAAAGGAAGAAACTGTTATTAAAATAAATTAGACTATGTAAAGTGATACTTTACCTTTTTTATGGTTTTGTGCGATGACTGGCAGTTAAATTCTTGAAGGGCCCTAACTACTAAACTAGGGATCTGAAATGTTACTTGAAGCATTGTAAGGTTTCAGATTTACTATAGATGACAGTGCCACGAGTGTCTTAGTAAAAATTACAATTTTTAATATATGGACCGCCATAATATATAATGATCAACACAGCAGACTGTATACTGACCACTACAGCAGACTTTATACTGATCATCACAGCAGACTATATACTGACCATCACAGCAGACTATATACTGACCATCACAGCAGACTGTTTACTGACCATCACAGCAGACTATATACTGACCATCACAGCAGACTATATACTGTCACAGCAGACTATATACTGTCACAGCAGACTATATACTGACCATCACAGCAGACTATATACTGCCCATCACAGCAGACTATATACTGACCATCACAGAAGACTATATACTGATCATCACAGCAGACTATATAATGACCATCAAAGCAGACTATACTGACCATCACAACAGACTATATACTGACCATCACAGCAAACTATATACTGACCATCACAGCAGACTATATACTGACCATCACAGCAAACTATATACTGACCATCACAGCAGACTATATACTGACCATCACAGCAAACTATATACTGACCATCACAGCAGACTATATACTGACCATCACAGCAGACTATATACTGACCATCACAGAAGACCATCCAGTTATTATTATTTATATTCATGAGGAAGCGCTAAGCCCGTATCACACAGCACCTGAGGAATAGGTCAGGAGGCTTGATCCAAGGAAGGGGAAGATAGCTCTAGTTTCTTGAATCAAGAGCATGTCACTAGAATCAGATCATGGTGGTGGATGTACTGTTACTGTTGTCACGGTGGTGGATCTACTGTTACTGTTGTCACGGTGGTGAATCTACTGTTACTGTTGTCACGGTGGTGGCTCTGCTGTTACTGTTGTCACGGTGGTGGCTCTGCTGTTACTGTTGTCACGGTGGTGGATCTTGTTACTGTTGTCACAGTGGTGGATCTTGTTACTGTTGTCACGGTGGTGGATCTACTGTTACTGTTGTCACAGTGGTGGATCTTGTTACTGTTTTCACGGTGGTGGATCTACTGTTACTGTAGTCACAGTGGTGGATCTTCTGTTACTGATGCCACAGTGGTGGATCTACTGTTACTGTTGTCATGGTGGTGGATCTACGGTTACTGTTGTCACAGTGTTGGATCTACTGTTACTGTTGTCATGGTGGTGGATCTACTGTTACTGTTGCCACAATGGTGGATCTACTGTTACTGTTGTCACAGTGGTGGATCTTGTTACTGTTGTCACGGTGGTGGATCTACTGTTACTGTTGTCACAGTGGTGGATCTTGTTACTGTTGTCACGGTGGTGGATCTACTGTTACTGTAGTCACAGTGGTGGATCTTCTGTTACTGATGCCACTTTGGTGGATCTACTGTTACTGTTGCCATGGTGGTGGATCTACGGTTACTGTTGTCACAGTGTTAGATCTACTGTTACTGTTGTCATGGTGGTGGATCTACTGTTACTGTTGCCACAATGGTGGATCTACTGTTACTGTTGTCACAGTGTGGGTCTACTGTTACTGTTGTCACAGTGTGTATCTACTGTTACTGTTGTCACGGTGGTGGATCTACTGTTACTGTTGTCACGGTGGTGGATCTAATGTTACTGTTGTCACAGTGGTGGATCTACTGTTACTGTTGTCATGATGGTGGATCTACTATTACTGTTGTCACAGCGGTGGATCTACTGTTACTGTTTTCATGGTGGATCTACTGTTACTGTTGTCATGGTGGTGGATCTACTATTACTGTTGTCACGGTAGTGGATCCACTGTTACTGTTGTCACGGTGGTGGATCTACTGTTATTGTTTTCATGGTGGTGGTTCTACTGTTACTGTTGTCACAGTGGTGGATCTACTGTTACTGTTGTCACTGTGGTGGATCTTCTGTTACTGTTGTCGCGGTGGTGGATCTACTGTTACTGTTGTCACGGTGGTGGATCTACTGTTACTGTTGTCACAGTGGTGAATCTGTTACTGTTGTCACAGTGGTGGATCTGCTGTTACTGTTATCATGGTGGTGGATCTACTGTTACTGTTGTCACAGTGGTGGATCTACTGTTACTGTTATGGTGGTGGATCTACTGTTACTGTTGTCACAGTGGTGGATCTACTGTTACTGTTGTCACGGTGGTGGATCTGCTGTTACTGTTATCATGGTGGTGGATCTACTGTTACTGTTGTCACAGTAGTGGATCTACTGTTACTGTTGTCATGGTGGTGGACCTACTCTTACTGTGGTAGTTATACTGTTACTTATTTCACAGTGATATAACTACTGTTACAGAGGTTAACTGAAACTCTCTCACCACTCTTGTTTGTTTGGAAATGAAAAATCATAGATGTTATGCAAAAAAAAAAAAAATTATCGTATTTGTGAATTTGCTGAAGCTGAATTAGTTTATCCTCAGAGTTATTTTTTTGTGAGTAATGACACTTTGAGACGAAAATTCTTACCTGCAGAAACATAAAAATAAAAATCACTGAACGCATTCGAGAAGGCTGCATGACCCTTACAGGTTTATCGCTTCGCCATGATAATAATAATAACCCACTGTAACGGTGATATTTTGCACACCGAGCATTTCGGCTAGTGATTATATTATCATGTTCAGAAAGGCTGAACAGTGTTAAAGATTGTTGTTACTGAATATTTCGATGTTTTAAGACGGTTCCGCATCGTTCTTTGACTTGCTGGACTTTTTGAAATCTTGTAGGCACCCGTCCCCTGAAGGGACGACTGATCCAAGGATTGCCCTCCGTGTGCTGTCTGACTCCTACAGGTTTAGCGAATTCCTGTTGATTATAGTTACAGCAATAATAATTTAAAACTACTATGCCATTTTTTGCTGTCATGAAGGCACAACAGCCACCTTGTGAAGAACAGCACGATGAAAACTCTAAATGTCTACACTGTTACTTCATAACTTAACAAAACCCAGAGTATGAGATATCAACAAATATTAAAGTGACAACAATGCATACTAATTAACTTGGAAAATAGGAAAATTGAGCAGCTTCTGCTGCTCAGTTTTCCTATTTTCCAAGTTAATTAGTATGCATTGTTGTCACTTTAATATTTGTTGATATCTCATACTCTGGGTTTTGTTAAGTTATGAAGTAACAGTGTAGACATTTAGAGTTTTCATCGTGCTGTTCTTCACAAGGTGGCTGTTGTGCCTTCATGACAGCAAAAAATGGCATAGTAGTTTTAAATTATTATTGCTGTAACTATAATCAACAGGAAATCACTGGAATACGTGGCACATGATATTATACATTCACTGTGGCTACGGGAATGATCACTCAGTGAAGAGCCTAATGGTTTCTTACACAGGACTATTTATGTCGTTTTAAGGTCGTCTTAAACCAGTTAACTGCCCTTGAACTCTACACTTACCTGAATTTAAATTTTTTCCAGAATAATTACTGTGAATAGTATTTTTTTGTTCAAGCTCAGAGTTTATAAATTGTACAATGTGAGGTTGAATCGAGGGATAATACGTAGGCTTGTGGTTGCTAGGTTTGTGTAGGAGTCTGTAAATTTCTGATAGTCAAGCCTTAAGACCCTAGGTGGCTTCTTGTTGCATTCACCAGCATGCAAGGCTATAATTATTATTACTTGAAGTACAAAGTTGTACAGCATAGTATTTAATTATATTAGTGCTAGAAAGGGATGTTTCATGCACCTGTCTGACAGCTGCAGTGATAATCATAGGCTGTCAAGTTGTATCAGAATGCCAGTCACTGGTGAGATTGGAAAAATCCTTCGCAAATGTAGAATATACGCATCTCCACAATATAACGTACGATGTAGCCAAAACAATCTCGCAATTGCTTGAAGCATCTAGACCCCGTAAAAAATATTTAACTTAGTAGCAAGCTTCTTAATCGATTTAAAATAAGGTTTAGTTTGAATATGACAAACAGGGCTAGCCTTGTGTAAACACAGGTGGGGTAACGGGTTGTTATATTCTTCAGAGAGAAACACCTGAAACGGGTCGTATGATAACCCGTTCAGTAGTGCCGCTGGTCCTGTGGCTGGGGGGGCAGCAAGAAGCAACCGCTGGCATACACGGTGATGTGACACTTGCAAGTGTGGTAGCCGCTGGTTCTGAGCTGGGCCAAGAAAGAGTGACTGCTGGCTTAGAAGTAGAACTTGGTGGTCTAAGTAGAGTGCAAACAACCATCTGGTTCTCCACCTGGCATAAACATCTTGGGCCATCATCTAGGGCCACCATTTAGAGGCCACCATCTGGACCATCACCTAGGGTCATCATCAGGGGTCCCCACTTCACACGGCCGCCACCACGCTGCCCTCACCACACCTTCACATTATTTGCATACAAATATATAAAAATATATATACATATTATTTTTTTAATGTCATCACTTTTTCAACATTTTTTACTTCAGTTGTATATCATTTGTATTGCAAGTGAGCATGTCTTTATAAAACATCTAATTAGAAAATCATTTAGATTCATTATATATATATATATATATATATATATATATATATATATATATATATATATATATATATATATATATATATATATAAGGCAGAACTTTTACATTACCCTTTTCTCTTATAATATGGCAGGATAAAAATAGTTGTTTCACAAGTGTCCATAGGTGCAAACTGTTTAGGTAACAAGAAATAGCAATAATAATTGAACACTATTATTTTTATTATTATTATTATTATTATTATTATTATTATTATTATTATTATTATTATTATTATTGCTAATATGCCCACTACTAAAGTAACTCGGAAAGCAGCGTCTGAGTGATGTTTGACTGCCTTGCTCTGAGAAACTCATTATTTTCCAATCAATACCGTTGTTATATTGTATAATTTCACCCAACCTCCTCACTGGGTAAGGAACTTGGCCAGTATACACAATATTGGAATTCTCTTAGCGGTGTATTGAAAGTGCTCATATTTTAAGATCTTTGTTTAATGTAAGACCGACTTAATTTTAGCGAGTCATATTGTTTGTATATATGTACAGTTAGTGGTTACCAATGCTATGTGCTGGACGAGGCTTGGTGCCGCCGTCCTTTCACCTCTGTATGTAGCATTTTTTGTCCTAGGTATTTTTTAACTTGATTTTATTATAATCTTGTATTATTAATAAGATCATTCCAATACCCTAAAATGTGTGTAGTCTTTATAATATCATAGAGACTGCATTTGAAATTGTTAGAAAACGGGTTTTAAAAGTCCCATAGATACGAGGATAAGGTTTCTCAGCAGTGATGGTGTAATCATAATTATCCACGGCTGTAGACTCCCTGAGGTTTGAACATTTGCCAGACAAATTCATGCTCTGATTTTCAAGCAGTTTGCTGTTTTTACTCTACCTCCCTGACTGTTTAATTTGACAGTGTGATTAAAGTTATCTAACTTACATATCCTCCTCAATTTGTATCCATAAAAAATCCCTCCATTTTAAATTTGTATTCCCAGTTATTATTATTTGGACAGTTAGTATATGTAACTCACAGTAAATTTAATTGTATTTTATAGCTATATATATATATATATATATATATATATATATATATATATATATATATATATATATATATATATATATATATATATATATATATGTATATATATATATATATATATATATACACACAAATAAAAATTGCACATAAAATCCAGTTAATAGATAATGTTATGTTGCTGTCCCTCACCACGGCTGTGACGTCAAGGAAGGTTGTATTCTTTATTCTGTTTATTTGGCAAGTTAAACAATGGGCAATCTATTGTCCTTTCAATAAAAGGGAAGTATGGGAGCCTTTGTATTTTAAATCCTTCACAGCATAACTTGCTCTGTAAAAATGATGAAATCGTGGTTTAGTACATGACGGTGAAAGTGTGAGTAGCTATAGTTTTGTCCTTGCTAAAGAATTTAACTTCTTGAACAGCGACATGTTAATGTGTGAATAGTTTCTGAAGATGTGAGAGCACTTAATTAAGCATTCAATTTACTCTTAGTTCTCTGTGGTTGTTCTTTCATTCCTTCGTACCCGTGACTGTATAATAAGAAAGGAGTAAAGTGGGTGTGATGATAAAGAGGGTGGCTGGAAGACGTAGCGTGTGTACTCACCTAATTGTGGTTTCTGAAGGGTCGATTCATAGCTGTTTAGCCTGCATCTTCACTCTTGTTGTGCGTGTTGTTCGTTTGATTTTGCGTGTGTTTATGAAGGAGTTTTTAAGAGATAGGACTTGAAATATATCAGGAAGCGTGCGTGTTATATTATGTGGGAGTCCACTCATACGTTTATCTCTGTACATTCCACATGTATTGGACATTTAATCTCTACTTGTAGTTTGTGCTTCCGTTGTAGTCAGTTATTTGTAGTTGTCTATCAGTGAGTCCAGTCTATTTGTAGTTGTGCCCTTCCGTGTAGTCCAGTCTATCTTGTATTGTGCTTCGTGTAGTCTCTATCTTGTAGTTGTGCTTCCGTGTAGTCCAGTCTATCTTGTAGTTGTGCTTCCGTGTAGTCCAGTCTATCTTGTAGTTGTGCTTCCGTGTAGTCCAGTCTATCTTGTAGTTGTGCTTCCGTGTAGTCCAGTCTATCTTGTAGTTGTGCTTCCGTGTACTTCAGTCTATCTTGTAGTTGTGCTGCCGTGTAGTCCAGTCTATCTTGTAGTTGTGCTTCCGTGTGCTTCAGTCTGTCTATAAAGAATACAAAGGCACAATATCGTGACTGGAACAAATAACCCGCACATAGGAAACTAATGACAACGTTTCGGTCCGACTTGGAACATTAACTAGTCATAAGTTTCAATCTCCTATGTGCGGATTATTTGTGTATTATTCCAATCTATTTTGCAGTAAGGAAAGACAGAAGGTTATGTAGACATAAAGGTAGACCAAGCACGAGCGTCGACGTCACCTACCAGCCCAACGTTGACCATAATGCAACAGATCATCAGCAGTAAGTCAGCAGAAAAGGAAAAAGGGCTAGGACCAGTCAGCAGGAAAGGGGAGAAGAGCAACAGCAGACAGCAGAAACAGAGGGGCGCAGCAGTGAACGTGAACAGGGAGTAGAAGATAAAGAATGAGCAGGAAAGAAGCAGACGACAAGAAAATATATATGTTTAGGACTCGTTGTGTGTGTAAAAATAATAAGGGAAGCAGACCATGAGCAGTCAACAGAAGCTTACAGAAGAGAATAAGTCAGTAGGGGTGAGCAGTGGCAGTCGACAGAATGAACGAGGTATTTGTCTTCTTGCCTCAAGGGAGTTTCCCTAATACTAATGAGGGGATCTTGATCCAAGGAATTGAGTCTGACCTTCTCTTTCCTGGATCAAACCTGATTGTCTCCCATTTTCATAAGCGCTGTAAGAATCTCATGGGTTTAACGCACTTCATGAATGTAATAATAATAACTTCTCAGTGAGAGATGATGTAAGATCCTTCAGTAGGAATTTGTTGATGGTGAGCGGCTCTTGCTTCCAGGAATTGTCTTGTCTTTCCCTTTCTTGAATGAATCTAATTACTTGCAATTGCTCAGGCTCTTCGAAGGTTTGAAGTCGCACAAAATAATGTAATGTGGAAATTTGTGAAGTGGGGGGGGGGGAACTCTTTGTTATGAATCTGCTACTGCTCTTATAGTTTAGTTTAATTAAAAAGTTTCCCTTCACAAACGTCTTTGTTTCGGAATATAGATGAAAGAAAGACCGACAGGACCCGCGTCCCCAAACACCAGCAAACAACGGACTTATTTGAGACGGGGAGTCTGTCCATAGCAAAAGTCTTCCCAGACAGCAACCCCTGGCAAACTTCACCTTTGAGAAACACTTCCTGTAATATGGACTCTCTTGATAA